AGATAACGATGCGTCCATATCCGGTATGTAGTACAGAGGTCGCGGGTTCGAGCCCGCGAAAAGGAAAAAATTAAAAAATGGCTAGACACCGTACCAACTCATGACAGCCGCCTTGATGAACGCCGTACCATTGTCGGTGACGATCTCGCTGAGCGCACCCCATCGACAGAGGATGTCTTCGAAGATCCAGTCAGCGAGGGCCTTCGCTGTCTCTTTTCGAAGCATTCGAAACTCGGGGTAAGTCGTGAGCGAGCATCTACCTTGGACCAAGTACTTGTATCCACCCGAGGCAGGCATGTGCATTGTGTCGATGTGAATTTTCGTGAAGATGGGAGCTGGTACTGCGACGGTCGGAGGAATGAGGATTTGACGCACTTGTCGAGACTGGCAGATATGGCACGATCGAACAAACCAAGCGATGTCGGCGTAGTGGAACGGCCACCAGAATCGCTCACTGACGAAGGCTCGGGTCGCGTAGATTCCTCGATGCGCGGTGCGGTCGTGGCATTCTCGAAGTATTCGAAGGCGATCGCCGGGCTTGACAACCAGCTTGTGTGCTCCGTGACTGTCCTTGCGCCAGAGGGTGTCGTTGTCGAGGAAGAATTGCATGCAGTACTTGATGAACCCTTCGTAAACACTTTCGGAGATGTCGTCGGGCTTTGCTATCGTTCGATGAAATTCGAGTACGTCGTCGAGCTTCATGTCGGCGAGTTGCGCTTGCTCCGATCGAGGCACTAGCTCGTAGCTATCCTCCTCCTTATTGAAATCTGAGCCGTCCTCGGCTCTGTCATTGGTTAAGATGGCAAGCGAAGGGACGGGTGGGAGGGGCTGAATCTGGTGAATGAAAGAGTGCATCTGGTCGATCCAATCGTCGAACTCTTCGTCGACCTTGTCTTCGATGATATCGCCGGGTTGAGCTGTGCGTTGAGAGAGACCATCGGGGCCGTGCATTGTACAGGGGACGTGGACTAGCATGAAATGGAATGTGAGAATCGAGACGATCCACCGGTTAATACTCGCGCTTGGGGCTATGTCCGGATTCTTCAGCATACCCTTGATGTACCAAGCATCGACTTCGACGATGAGGTTCCGAACGCCGATCAGGTAGAGTCGAAGGGATCGTAGTGCGCGGAATAGGCTGTAGATCTCGAGCTTCGGCTGTGAAAACCTTCGTTCGCGATCGTTGAGCGTGATCGAGCCGAACCTGTTGTAGTAACGGACTCGCGTGTTGGCTTCGTCACACTGGCAGAGGTGATATCCGACGGCGATGAACGACGTGTCGACTGCGAGAATGACGGGAGAGGGGGAATCATAATTAATGGCTCGGAGTGCGGGGGATGAGAGTAGCACGTCCTTGAGGTCTTCCTGCGCTGCGATTTGCTCCGGACCAAACTCAAACTCGACGTCCTTCCTCGTGAGGCGTACGAGCACGTCGGCGCGGTGAGCGAAATTACGGATGAAGATACGAACGACGCCGATGGTTCCGAGGAATGCTCGAACGTCGGATAGAGTAGCGCAGGGACCCCAGTTGCGTATCGAAGCGATGCGAGAGTCGTCGGGGAGGCGTCCTTGAGGAGTGCAGCGATGTCCTACCACCATGATTTCTCGAGCGATTAGGACGCTCTTGACTCCTGAAAAGGTATCTCCGGCGTAGCGCATTCGAGTGACTATGCGGTTCATGTTCTCGAAATGCTCCCATACGAAGCGTCGAATGCCACGGTTCGAAGGGAGCCGTTCGCCGTCGTAGTCTGATTCGGGACCCTTGACGGGAACGTCGTCGACGTAGGGCACCGTAACGTGCGGGATCTCGGGCTGTAGGATGTAGGTGACGTCGTCGTGGAAGATCGGGACCAAGTTCGTCCAACCCATCGGGAGTGTTACTAGGCGCATGGCTTCGTAGGGTGTCTGGAACGTCGTTAGATCTCTCGAAGATTCGGCGATGAGTCGTTCATCGTAGCCGACGTAGAGGTCGAGCATGCCGCCGCATGGTCTTCCTCCGAATTGTTCTGCGAGGTATTCGGGCGTCGGCGGTACACCAGAATGTTGGATCGTAACTGCATTGAGGGGCTCGAGGGAATGGACGAGTCGAAGAGATTTACCGTCCTTCTTGACGACACAGAACCACCGCGATCGATACGACGAGTTCGATGGTTCATAGACTCCGGCGGTGATCTTTCGCTTGATCACCGCGCAGACTTCGTTGTAGATCCCGGGCGGAATGGGGATATTCTTCTGCACCCAGGGCGTGTGAGGAACGACGGGGAAATCGACGGGAGGGAAGTACTCGGGCTTGAAGCATCCTCGCTCGTCGTCGGTCCATGCGAAGGCTTCATTGTGCAGGCACATGAAGTGGTGGAGGACTCGATGTTCGTCGGGAAGTAGGAAGTCGCCGTCGTGAAGCTTCTCGGTCGTTTCGAAGTGTTCGAGGGTGTACCGACCAGTAGGTTTGAACGGTGGGGGGTCAGTTGAAAGCTTAGGCATGATGGATAGAGGGTCGCCCTTGATGTCTCGAAGTATTCGAAATTGCTCGGGGACGGCACCAAGGATGGGTCTGGTTTTGAGAGCGACAGGCTTGTATTTCTTCTTCGTCGCGGCGAGTATCTTGTGCATCGAGGGGGTAGAAGTCGATGTCGTCGAAGGAAAGGGAAGAATTGAGTTGGAGAACTGTGAGATGGACTTCGTCGGAACGGGAGCTGGCGGAGTCGAAGCAAACAGAGCTGAAAATAGAAGAGTCGAAACCCACGTCGAAGTGTTCGACGGAGCGGCATTAGAAGCTGTATTGTCCGAAGCGTAAAGAGACTGCAAATATGATGAGATGGAGGTGCATGCGGAGAGATACAGCGACGAAACAGCGTTCGGAGTCGAGGAAGCAATAGGAGAGACGAAAGAAATACTCGGTTTTACCCCATCGTAGTCGATGACTAGCGCGGCTTCTCCTTGATCATGGGGAATCAATTCCTCGAAGCGAGAAAATGCGATTTGCGACACCCGAAAGGATGCTGCTGTCTTCGCGATCTTCCTCGCGCATATGTTGGAATCGTGACGGTTTCGCCGGTGTTCGGACAGAGGATCGTAATGGTCTGGTTCTCGTCGGCGAAGTTCTTGACGACGCTCTGCGTGAGCACGTCGAAGGGTCGGCCGAGGAGGATGTCATACACTGCGTTTCGAATGACGTGAGCCTGGAGATACAATACGATCTCACCGATGCGGAAGGGAACATTTCGAATGAGTCCTAACGATCGGTCCACCTCGCCGTTCGCCGATTGCATGTTCAGCTGGATAGTAGGATCGAAGAGGAGGTTGAGGCCGAGACAGACCTCTTCCGACATGGCGACGATCTGCGAACCTGGGTCGATGATGCATTCGATCTGCTCTTTGTTGTCGATCAACGCGATGATCGAACAAATCGCGTTCGAATCGCGTGCGACGGTGAATTCTGCGGGGTACTCGCCGTGAGGGATGTGCTTCAGATATGTTTCATAGGGGTCGGGGACGATTGTAGCACCAGGTTCCAACGTTGCGCCTGAACACGAGAGCTGGTTGACGGCCATGACCTCGTCGGCGCCGATTTCTACGATGTGGGCCGACGTGACGGGTTCCGTCGAGACTCGCTTCGGGGTGACGGTGTCGCGGTACTTGGTTCGAACGTCGGGCGCGATCGACAGCAACTCTTCTGGGGTCAGCGTGATGAACTGCGACTTCATTGAACGCTGGAAGATTTCTTCGGCGAGCTTCAGCTGGATAATAGGGACGATGGTCTTGTACGCTGGTTCCTTGCCCTTGTCGTTCGAGGGCTTCGGCGGAGTTGCGAAGTTTCGAACGTTCGGCGGGGCGTAGGTTGCGTCGCGAGCGTTTGCGAAGGGGTGTACTGGTGGTGCTGGGGGAGCGGACGTAGTAGTAGGTTGAGACGTGGATTGCGTAGGCGGCGAAGAAGACGGCGCGGGTGCTGCTGCTGGTATCGTCGGAGGCGGGGCCGTGCTTGTCGAAGTGCTCGAGGGTGCCGCCACTCCTTTTGATGTACCAGATCCCGAGGCTTCCGCGCTCTTCGGGACGGCTGTCGTCGTAGGCTTCTTCCGCTGTAGAATCTCGACGCCGTCGAAGACCTCCCTTCTCTTTCGAAGCTGAAGGAGTTCTCGTTCGAGCGCTTCGATCCTGCCGCTGGTGTTGAGCGTGAACGTTTGCACAGTCGAGCGATCGTCGATCTCGAAGAGCATCGTCAGAGCGGCGGGTGCTGCGGGATTTCTTCTATACCATTCGTAAATTCGATCTCGTATTGTGAGATCAGGGATAGTGCGGGGGCAGAAACTTCCGTTTGGAAGGACGATCTTGCCTTTGGTGTTCCATTTGCACTTGCCGTCCCGAATGTCGATCTCCGCGAACTCGCAGGTGCCTACCCTGCAGCCACGATTGCCGCAGTAGTGGCACGTCTGTTCAGCTCCGCTGTTCTCGTGGACGTGGACGGCAGCTTGTTGTCTCGATGCGGGGGCGTGGTTGTGCGTAGCGTGCGTTGTCGGCTGAATGAGTGTTGTGATCGTTTTCGACAGGCTTTCGATGATCATCGAGATATCTTCAGTTTTGATCATCCCGGGGGGCACCGTTGTCGAAGTGTTCGATGTCGAAGCGATAGGTTGGTTAGCCGCTGTCGTAGGTGTGCTCGATGTACCATGTAAAATGAAAGTAGCCGCAGCGTGAATCTCTGCCATGGTGTATGGGTCATCGGCGTAGTGATCGGGGTGCTTGAGATGCAGTCGGGTCTCGAGCCGTGTGAGCAACGCTGGCTGGAATCCTCGAAGAAATGCGCGACTTTGTTTGATAGTGGAGAGTCGGTTCTGTGTGATGAGACGTTTCGTAATGGCCATGAAGTCGCGGTAGTAGCAGCCTAGATCTGCCGCATTGTGAATCCCGATACGAGCGCGTTCTCCGATGAGCTGATCCATGTCCGCCAGCGACCACTTTCTTGTATTGTCGGCACCAGGATAGAGTGCTCGTACGTCCGCTTTTCATTCGTTGTAGCTCTTGTTTACGTCGATGAAGGACTCGATGGTTTCCCATAAGTCGGCGACATCAATCGAAGGGTACCGAATGGCCCACTGTTTCTTGGCCGCGTCGTCGGTAATCTGACACCGGGCGAACAACGCCTCGAGGTCCTGGAAGTAACGCCGAAGCGAACGGACTTCCGACGGGTCGAAGCTCGGTGCCGTCGAATGACCACGCGGGGGTATCAACGGTGTGTTCGTGTTCTGACTCATGTTCGTAGTGTTAGTAGGAGCTGGGCTCGAAGAGGACGCGGTAGTAGTCGAAGGATTCGTAGGTGCGGGCGGTGCGAGGTTGGAGTTCGAAGCTGCGTTCGAAGGTGCCGATACTGGCGGAGGTGCCAGGTCGGACGTAGGTACGACTGAAAGTCGCGAAGAGGATGCGAGGGACGGCTGGGCGTGGGTGCGAAAAGAAGACAGAGTTGGAAGTACGAGATTCGAAGTAGATGGGATGGGATCCTCGGGTTCGGGCGAAGAACCGGATTGGTCGAAAAGATCAGGAGACGAGGTGGTGTAGTCGGTAGTAGTGAGGCCTAGAAGCTCGGGGGACGAAGTGCGTTCTTCAGAGGTCGAAGGGATCGGTTCTTCGTCGAAGTCGTCCTGAAGTTCTTGGTCTATCTCGTCTTCTTCGTCGCGGTCGAAGTTACCGGGAATTGTCGGAGAGAGAGTTCGAGAGGAGCTGTCGAGGTTTTCGCCGGTGCTGCGACTAGCAGCCTCACGCGCTTGCGAGCGGGTGAGTACTGGAGACGTTTTCGGAAACCCGAAAGCGGCGAATTCTTGCCTGAGATCCCCTCGCGGTGGGCTCCAGAAATGATGCGATCTACGAAACCCTAACCCCTAACCTGGGTACGACCTAGGTGGACTAGAGGCGGGTTATTGTCTTAGTGAGAGGGGAGTTAGCAGCAAGGTGTCCCGCGGTTCGAGTGAACATGAGAAACGCCCTCAGAAAAGGCTACGAATGCTAGGGAATGTACGAGGTGGCTTCGACACGTCGTCGAAGCTACTCGTAGGCTGTGGGTAGTTAGCGGGGGTCGGTAGGGACGATCGAAGCTTGGCAGAGCTCTTCGATGTATCGTAGAGGGAAGAGACACGATTCGATAGGGTGGACTTAGCTAGGACGCGGTTCGAGGTGCAACGCAGTTTTTCGACAATAGCCGAAGTCGAAAGGTTCGTCGAGACGGTATCAACGAGTAAACACAGTAGACGAGGTTTCGAGGATACGCAGTGAAGAACGAAGTGACGCAGTTAAGGTTTTAGACGCAGGGCGAACTCGACTTATGAGCTCTGAGCTCGAGGGGGGGACCGGATCTTCTATTTTTGGAGAGAAGTACGACAGATTTTATACTATGCAAGGGACGCTAC